CCATGCAGTGGTTTTGGATTCGAACTTCCAAAAGATTGGAGTGGAATTGGCTAGTAGGTTGTTCCCTCTGTTATCAGGATGTGGAATCGGTTAACCATCTCTTTATTCAATGCCCATTTGCAAACGAAGTGTGGAGAAAACTAGCTGTATGTGGTGGTTTCCAAATTTTTACATCTGAAACTCCTATGGTGCGAATGATGAGGTTGACAAGGATTTTTAAAAAGCAGTCTGTGTATCACAGCCTACTTGGTGGTGCTCCTTTGTTGATATTTTGGAAATTGTGGAGGGAGAGATGTAAAAGAATTTATGAAGATATCTCTTTAAATGCCCATGCTCTGTTCTTGGAGGTTTGTTCAGCTCTTAGACTGCAGGCTCATGGTATTAGACCCAAAGCGGCAGAGGGCATTATGGGCACGGAGTTTTTGCAGGCTATAAAGGTTGAGGTAAGGTATGAGTTGAAACCGAAGGTGATTTGGATTAACTGGTCTCCTCATCCCCCTGGTCAGTTAAAGCTTAATGTTGAAGGGGCATCAAAGTGCAATCCTGGTAGAGCTGGGGGTGGCGCTGTGGTAAGGAATGAATGGGGGCACTTAGTTTTGGCTGCATCATTTTTCTATGGGGTTTGTTCCAACATGGAGGCTGAGCTATGTGCCCTGAAGGATGACCTATTGTTGTTTAGAAGTTATGGTCTGTTAGACTATGGCCTCCATATTGAAACTGACTCGGCGGTTATGGTCCAAATGATAATGAAAGGACACATGAGGGCCTCGAAGTTTTGGGGGATCTGTGATGAAATTATGGGATTGTTGGAGGGCATGAATTTCTGTCTGGCTCACGTGTACAGGGAAGCGAATTCTTTGGCTGATTGTTTAGCTAATCTCGTTGTTCTGGAAAGTGCTTCAACGGACCACACACAAGATTTGAAAATCCCTCTTCAAGCTAAATTTATTCAGAGGCAGGATCAACAAGGCATTAAAACGCCTAGGAAAAAATTTGCTATTTTTTTATTATGATCATGCTTTTTTGTCTGCTGGGGTATTTTCTAGCTGGGATCCTCATTGCTTGGCCTACCTCAGATGGGACCCTGTGGCCTTGCTGGGCATTATGGATTCATGTGGGGTTCTTGGTCTCTTATTAGTGCAGTTGTGGGGAGTATCCGGTTTTTCATTTGCTACTATGGGCAGGAGTGCACACTGTTCACGTGAACAGCCTGCTTTCAGCTGGCCTTTGTTTTCAGCTGCTCTCTGAGGTTTGTTTTAAGAGTTTCTCCATTGAATGCAGTTGGTTCTGGGTTGAAGGGCACTGCTCACGTGACTGCTCATGGGACTGCTCCCGTGAACAGTGTTAATGCCAGAAGTCGAATTGGAAATTGCAATAGGCTTTCCAAACCTGGCATTGGGTGTCCATGTGGAGGAGAGTTTGCGGCTGATGACTGCTGGCTTGACGGGTACCATGAAGACAGTGCACCCCGTCCTTCATATTGATTTTTTCTTGGAGAAGTGGTAGCAGAACTTTTCTGAGGAGATCCAGCAGCCGAATACCTTCTGGGGGACACACTCGTGGAAATTATTTTTGGAGTTCCCATTGGAGTGAGACGGGGTGTTATGTAAGGGGTCATAGAAAATCGTTGATTAGCTTGCTTTTACGCTGTTGTCCAAAACTTGGATTAAATCACTCATCATGAAAAAAATGATATGCAGGCATATGCAAGACTGAACAACCAAGAGTTATTGATACATACCATCATCAGTGATGTTTGCACTATCTATGGAGCCGCTAAATGAATGTTGTGTCATGTAGCCATTTGCCGCCTACTCTGCAAGGTAAGAGTTAAGGAAGTAATAGCACACCCAACAACAGACACCAAGCAGAAGACAGAAACCAATATAATTTCATTAAATACAAACAAGATACGACACTTGACCAGTTACTAAGCACTATATTCAAAATTTTCATCAAGCCAAGGCAAAAATTACCCTTCACAGGATGGGCTTTGGGAACTGAATGATCATATATTCCTATATTCACTGTTTCAGTTTGCTGGTAAAACACAAAAAGCAAAGGAAAAAAACCAACATGAACAAGAAGATATTTCTCATCACAAAAGCCCTAAACCCTATTTAAATTCTATATTCTATTAGTATTTTTAACACGCTACAAACTCCTAATTTTTCACCATATGATTTAACCACTTGCTCCCTCTCCAAGTAATTAAATTTTGTTTCCAACATTTAACAATTTCAATAGAAAGACAATAACAAAAGAAATAAAACATAAATAATCTAATAGAAAAGCAAACAAAACACATGTAATCAAAGAAATGTTATTCAATTATAGGTTGTATAAAACACGAAAACAACAACGAAAAATAAAAAGTAAATAGTGGAATAATGAGAGTGTGGGGGATTGAAAATAATAGAAACAAAGATCATAACAAGTAAGAAACACAAGAAGAAGTAGAAATAGTCAAGTGTAAAACACATTTTACATGTAAAAGAAAGCCAATAGAATTTGGACAAATAGATATACTTATCTTTTCATTCCTAAACTCCGCTTTCAAGCTTATCTCGTCCATTCCACTAACAACTGATATCAAAGCACAAATTAGATTAGTTACGCACATAAAAATGAAAATTCAAAGATAACAAACAACAATAAAAGAAAAAAATTAGATAAGAGTGATGAGAAGGTGGAACAAAAGAACAAAAAACCCAAATCCCTAACCCCTAACCCCTAATCCGTACTCCCAAAGCCCTAATCCTTAATCCCTAATACCTAATCCCTACACCCTAAGCCCTAATCCCTACTCCCTAAGACCTAATCCCTAACCCCCCCCCCCCCCTTTTTTTTTTAAATAAAGAGAAAATTTTATAGATAAGAACCAAGATTACAAGAAGCAAAAAGCAGAGCATTAAACAGAACATGGAAGCCAAAGTTGGCTTTAAACCTTCAAAATAAAATAGCAAAATGAGCAGCTGAAGACCAGCTGAAAAACATTAAATCCAGCTGGGAATCCAGCTGGAGACCAGCTGAACAGAGCCAAACTGCCCCTAACATTGAAAGACTAACAGGCATCAAAGCAGCCAGACCATAAAGCTAAAAATAGTAAGCTAACTGGAGGAAGACCAGCTGAAAAGAACCAGGGAGAACAGGTGGAGTCCCGTAAAGACCAGCTGAGAATAAAGGCTCCAACTGACTGCAATGAGAACCATCAAACCAGCAGCATGAGAGGACCAGCTGAGAGGCGAAAGTGAAAGGGACCCGAGGAAAACCAGCTGAGGAACCTTTAAAGAGCCCGCAGAGAACCAAAAAAACCTGGGACAGCAACCTGACTGTTCACGTGCACAGTCACGTGAACAGTGGCAAACAGCAGCAAATTGGGGAGCAATCCAGCTGAAGGCGCAGAAAAAGCTGAAAAACAGCTCAAGATGTATGGGACAGTATGCCATAAAAGCAGCCGAGAGAGAACCATCTGAGAGGCACTTGAATAATGCATCCAGCTGAAACCATGTGAATAACCTCAAAGACATAGTATTGGGGAGAGAGTGGCCATCAAAAAACAGCAACCAAGGAGAAAAGCTGGACTGATCCAGCAGCAACCATCAATGAATGCCAATGGACCAGAAAGGCCACCATCACTCCCCAGCAGACCAGCTGAACAGGATCCAAACAGAAGAGGACCAGCTGGACAGAAAGCAATAGCAGCAGAGAAACGCCATACACGTGAACAGTCGCATGAACAGAGCACAAGACCCACAGCAGAGAGAAAAATCAGCAAAATGAAAAATGACCCTGCATCAAAGCCCAGCACCATGCCCAAGTAAAAATATCACATCAGCAACCATCCAGCACCTCACATAAAGAGATGATGAGTGATGAAGAAAAGGAAGACCAACATAAGTTGGCTTTAATCCTACAACAGGATTAACAGCCAGAAGATAGCCCCAGATGGGACCTTACCTAAATCAGTAGGGAACCCTGCTCCAACGCCATAAATACAGCAGCACATCACCAAGGCCTCAACACCCTAACTGAGCCTGAGCCAAACCAGACACAACACTGCCCAGAAACCAAGCAGCAGGTGCACAAAGACCCCAAGCCCAGTGTCAACCAATCCCCTGCCTATGCTCACTTATCAAAACCTTGTTTAGTCTAGCAGAAGCTATCATTCCTTGGTATTGTTGTAGAAGTAATCTGCCAGTACTAGGCAGAGTACCATTATCAGAAAAATCAGAATACCTACCAGCCTGCACTGCATAAGAAGCCAGGAAGTCTGCAACTCTATTTGCTTCCCTTTACACATGCCTAATATGGTAATTCATCTTCTCAAGAATATCTAAAATTTGCTCCATATAAATAGATAAACGCCATGGAACCTCAACCACCCCCAGCGCCACGTTAACCAATACTTGAGAGTCAGATTCCAAAACAAGCTGAGAAGTACCCAAACCATGATGCATAATCATTTTTAGAGCATCCAATAAGGCCAGACATTCTGCTTTCATATTAGAGCCAATCCCATAAGCTGCAGCAGCGGCTAACAAAACATGCCCCTTAGAATCCCTTAAAATCATCCCACCACTAGAAAGGCCATTTTGCTTGGAAGTCCCATCAAAGTTTAATTTTACCTTGTTAATTGCAGGAGGTTCCCAATTCATACATTTCACTTTAGTGGTGACCGAAAAAGGGGGATAAATCCTAAGGTCTTGCAACATATCTGTACCAGCTCTACCTTCCTCTTTCTTTGGTTTGATCATATAAGATTGCCATTTCAAAGCATTTAATCTCAATCCCTCAAACCTCCTCCTACACCTTCCTTTCCATAATGCCCAAAAAATGAGCATAGGGACACCTCTGATAAGTGCATGGATAAGAGAAAGGCCATTGAAGCATCCACACAGTCTCAAGATTAGTTAAGCACATAAAAATGAAAATCCAAAACATAACAAAAACACTAAAACAAAAAAGAGGATAAGAATGATGGGGAGGTGGGGCAAAAGAAACAAAAGAACAATAAACCCAAATTCCTAACCCCTAATCCCTAATCTCTATAGCCCTAATCCCCAACCCGAACTATAAACCGACAATCCAAAAAAAGGAAATAAAACATAATTAATCTAATAGATAAGCAACCAAAGCACATACAATCAAACAAATGCTATGCAATTATAGGTTGTGTAAACATTAAAACAATAACGAAGAATGAAAAACAAACAGAGGGATAATGAGAGTGTTGGGAATTGAAAATAGTAGAAACAATGATCATAACAACTAAGAAACACAAGAAGATGTACAAATAGTCATGTGTAAAACACATTTCATATGTAAAAGAAAGCCAATCAAATTTGTACAAATAGTTATACTTATCTTTTCGCTCCTAAACTCCGCTTTCAACCTTATCTCGTCCATTCCATTAACAACTGTAATCAAAGTACACATTAGATTAGTTACGCACATAAAAATGAAAATTCAAAACATAACAAAAACGATAAAATTAAAAAATAGGAGAAAAATGATAAGGAGGTGGAGCAAAAGAAGCAACAGAACAATAAACCCAATTTCCTAACCCCTAATCCGTAATTCCTAATCCCTAATCGCTAATCCCTAATCTCAAACCCCTACTCCCTAAGCCCTAATTCTCAACCTCTAACTATAAACCGACATGCTAAAAAAAGGAAACAAAACATAATTAATCTAATAAAAAAACAAACAAAGCACATATAATCAAAGAAATCCTTTGCAATTATAGGTTGTGTAAAACATGAAAACAATAACGAACAATGAAATGCAAATAGTGAGATAATGAGAGTGTTGGGAATTGAAAATAATAGAAACAATGATCATAACAACTAAGAAACACAAGAAGATGTAGAAATAGTCATGTGTAAAACACATTTCATATGTAAAAGAAAGCCAATTAAATTTGCACAAATAGATATACTTATCTTTTCGCCCCTAAATTCCGCTTTCAAGTTTATCTCGTCCATTCCACTTACAACTGAAATCAAAATACACATTAGATTAGTTATGCACATAAAAATGAAAATTCAAAACATAACAAAAGCAATAAAAGAAAAAATAGGAAAAGAATGATGAGGAGGTGGAGCAAAAGAAGCAAAACAACAATAAACCCAAATCCCTAACCCCTAACACCTAATCCGTAATCCATAATCCCTAATTTCTAATCCCTAATACACAATCTGTAATCCCTAATCCCAAATTCTACTCACTATAAGCTCTAATCCCTAACCCCTAACTATAAACCAAAAATTCGAAAAAACGAAATAAAACATAATTAATCTAATAGAAAAGAAAACAAACCACAGATAATCAAAGAAATGATATGCAATTATAGGTACTGCAAAACATGAAAACAATAACGAAAAATAAAAAGTAAAGAGTGGGTTAATGAGAGTGACCGGAATTGAAAATAATAGAAACAATGAACATAACAAGTAAGAAACACAAGAAAATACAAAAATAGTCATGTGTAAAACAAATTCCACATGTAAAAGATAGCCAATCAAATTTGCACAAATAGATAGACTTATCTTTTCGCACCACAACTCCGCTTTCAACCTTATCTCGTCCATGCCACTAACAACTGAAATCAAAGTACACATTAGATTAGTTACGCATATAAAAATAAAAATCCAAAACATAAGAAAAAGAAAAAAATAGGATAAGAATGATGAGGAGGCGGAGCAAAAAAACAATCAAACCAAATCCCTAACCTTTAACCCCTAATCCCTAATCCCTAATCTCTAATCCCTAATTCCAAATCCCTAATTCCAAATCCCTAATTTCAAATTCTTACTCCAGAAGTCCTAATTTCCAACCCCTAACTATAAACCGACAAGCCAAACAAATGAAATAAAACATAATTTATCTAATAGAAAAACAAATAAAGCACATATAATCAAAGAAATGCTATGCAATTATAGGTGGTGCAAAACATGAAAACAATAGATATACTTATCTTTTCGCTCCTAAACTCCGCTTGAAAGCTTATCTCGTCCATTCCACTAACAACTGAAATCACAATACACATTAAATTAGTTACGCACATAAAAATGAAAATCCAAAACATATAAGAAACAATAAAAGAAAAAAATAGGATAAAAATGATGAGGAGGAGGAGCAAAAGAAGTAAAACAACAATAAACCCAAATCCCGAACCCCTAACCCCTAATCCCTAATTCCTAGTCCCTAATCCCCAAAGTCCTAATCCCTAATCCTTAATCCCTAATCTCTAATCCGAAATCCTACTCCCTATGCTCTAGTCCCCCACCCCTAACTATAAACCAACAACCCAAAAAAGAAAACAACATAATCAAACTAATAGAAAAGCAAACAAAGCATAGATAATCAAAGAAATGCTATGCAATTATAGGTGGTGCAAAAGATGAAAACAATAACGAAACATGAACAACAAACAGTGGGTTAATGAGAGTGTCTGAAATTAAAAATAATAGAAAAAATGATCATAACAAATAAGAAACACAAGAAGATGTACAAATAGTCATGTGTAAAACACATTTTACACATAAAAGAAAGGCAATCAAATTTGCAAAAATGGATATATACTTAGCTTTTCGCTCCTAAACTCCGCTTGCAAGCTTATCTCGTCTATTCCACCAACAACTGAAATCACAATACACATTAGATTAGTTACGCACATAAAAATGAAAATCCAAAACATATCAGAAACAATAAAAGAAAAAAAATAGGATAAGAATGATGAGGAGGAGGAGCAAAAGAAGCAAAACAACAATAATCCAAATCCCGAACCCCTAACCCCTAACCCCTAACCCTAATCCGTAATCTCTAATCCCTAATCCCTAATCTCTAAAGTCCTAACTCCTAATCCCTAATCCCTAATTCCTAATCCAAAATCCCAAATCCTACTCTCTAAGCCCTACTCCCCAACCCCTAACTATAAACCAACAACCCAAATAAAGAAAACAAAACATAAATAATCTAATAGAAAAGCAAACAAAACACATATAATCAAAGAAATGCTATGCAATTATAGGTGGTGCAAAACATGAAAACAATAACGAAAATGAAAAGCAAACAGTGGTTTAATAAGAATGGCCGGAATTGAAAATAATAGAAAAATGATCATAACAAGTAAGAAACACAAGAAGATGTACAAATAGTCATGTGTAAAACACATTTTACACATAAAAGAAAGGCAATCAAATTTGCAAAAATGGATATACTTAGCTTTTCGCTCCTAAACTCCGCTTGCAAGCTTATCTCGTCTATTCCACAACAACTGAAATCACAATACACATTAGATTAGTTACGCACATAAAAATGAAAATCCAAAACATATCAGAAACAATAAAGAAAAAAAATAGGATAAGAATGATGAGGAGGAGAAGCAAAACAACAATAAACCCAAATCCCGAATCCCAAACCCCTAATCCCTAATCCCAAATCCTATTCCCTAATCCCCTAATTCCCAACCACTAACTATAAACCAACAACCCAAATAAAGAAACAAAACATAAATAATCTAATAGAAAAGCAAACAAAGCACATATAATCAAAGAAATGTTATGCAATTATAGGTGGTGCAAAAGATGAAAACAATAACGAAAATGAAAACAAAAAGTGGTTTAATAAGAATGGCCGAAATTGAAAATAATAGAAAATGATCATAACAAGTAAGAAACACAAGAAGATGTACAAATAGTCATGTGTAAAACACATTTTACATGTAAAAGAAAGGCAATCAAATTTGCAAAATGGATATACTTATCTTTTCGCTCCTAAACTCCGCTTGCAAGCTTATCTCGTCCATTCCACTAACAACTGAAATCACAATACACATTAGATTAGTTACGCACATAAAAATGAAAATCCAAAACATATCAGAAACAATAAAAGAAAAAAAATAGGATAAAAATGATGAGGAGGAGGAGCAAAAGAAGTAAAACAACAATAAACCCAAATCCCGAACCCCTAACCCCTAACCCCTAATCCC